TGGTGGAGGAGGGAAAGCAGAGGAAATATTCAGTGTTTTTTCCAATTTCATACTTCCCCCTTTCAATAATTTGAGCACCAGCTGTTAAGAAAGATACCTTTGCCAACTATCACATTCCCAGACTTTATTCCACATCTTTAAAAAATGGCATTTTTAAAATTTAGTGAACAGGAGCTAGAGGGGGCATCTGAGCACTTAGTAAGTAAGATGGAATGAAAGAGAGGGACCTACTACTTAAACCCTTGGAGAGATGAGCAAGAAAGACAAGAGAGCCAGCCCAATAGAACCGGTACAACTCAGAGGAGGCAAAGCTTTTGCATTTCAGTTACCCACCTACAACCAATGAACTTACAGAAAACCCTTGGACCAAGTAAATCCCACATTAGTGCCTGAGAATACACATGATAAACAACGAATCATGTATAACTAAATTACTTTAATTATTTTGTCAAAATAACCTGAACACGTATACAGAAATTGATTTATTATAAGAATGTGTAGCATAAAAGTCCCTGAGACACATCCAAGAATGACTTGAAATGGATTCAATGCAATTATTCACCAGACTAATTACCAAGGACCTGGCTCCCTTCCCTGCCATCTAAAGCCTGTGACACTACATCAGTGTCCCTCTCTGGTGCCTGGTTTTCTGCCAGTTTACAGCTGCTGTGCAGTAGATCATTTCCAGACTGTAAGGAAGGCACGTGGGGAGGTGAATTAGTTCTTAAAGCCCCAAGGTGCCAGTTAGTAGAATGATGGCAAGAGAACTAGAGGTCCCAGGAGAACTTGTACAACCCTCTCATTTTGCAGTTCAAGTGACAGAGGCTCCAAGCGGTTGTGACTTGCACAAGCAAGGCTGGTTCTGCCACTACTAAATGCCCACAGCAGATATCTCCCAGGTGCTTCCTATGTGCGACACACTGTCCTGAGTACTGTAAGCATCTTATCTAATTCTCCCAGCACCTCCATAAATTGTATATGATTACCCTCAATTAGATATGAGACTATCAAAACACAGAAAGCTTAAATAATTTGTCCAATATAAGACAACTAGAGGCCTGATGCATGAAATTCGTGCAAAAGTAGTTCTCCCTCTCGCCCCCAACCCCCCCACCGGCACCGGCTTCCTTCTGGCACCCAGGACCTGGGCTTCCCTCCAGCCCGGCTTCGTCAGGAAGGACGTCCAGTCTAATTAGCATATTACCCTTTTATTATTATAGATTAGGAAATCTTGCAAAGCTGGTCTAGGAACCAAGGAATATGTGCCTTTAAAACTTTTCAGTTACAATTCCTAAGTCCATTCTAAGAAACCCCCATCAGGTAGGTTCTCAAATCCCTTCTATCTCTAAAAGTCTAAAACAGAGTTGACAAACTGACTGCAGGCAAATCCAGGCACCCCATTTGTTTATGTATTGACAACGGCTGCTTGTGCGCTGCAACGGGAGGTGACACTGCATGTCCCACAAAGCCTGAAATATTCACTCTCTGGCCTTTTATAGAAAAAGTATGCCAACCCCTCTCTAAGAGCCTTGGAAATGTAGAACATCCTGTAACTGTATAGCAACTTACAATGTACAAAGTGCCCTGGCATGCATCATCACATTTAGTTCTTGTTTTGTAGGGGCAAAAAAAGATGAAGCCAAAACTCAGAGTTTATTTAGGGGGAGAATGTGGCAGAACCGCTTGCCCAGGTTCTGGCTCCAAATTGCAAGCTCTTTCCATGAAGCCTCCGTCTCTAAATTACGGCCAGGCAAGGGCTTGGAAGTTGGGAAGCATCTGCGAATACTGAAAGCCAGTCAGACTGTCTTTCCTGATGCAAATTCATTCCAGATGCACTCATGTAATTAGGGTCATCAAGCGCTAACAATACTCAGTTTGTAGTAAGTTGTAAAGAAAAGTGTATGCGTTAAAGGAAGGGCATGGCAATCATAGGAAAGCTATTTTGATGCATTTTTATACATTTTATATCAGTGCCTGTGAAATTTCAAGCTGCTCAATTTAGAATATGAAAAATAAAATACCATAAAATGAACAACTGCCACGTTTGTCTTGCTCTCTGATGAGATTAACCTTTTAAAATATTCTTCATTTCACACGCCAAATTTTCAAATAAATAATAATGCAATGATACCTTCCTCATGCTAAATATTCAATACGTGGTTACTTTTAAATGGACAATAGTAAAAAGAGCATTAGTAAAATAATATTTACTTATATAACTATATAACTCAACCAAAACAAAACAACCTTTTTTTGTTTGTTTGTTTTTCAAAGAAAGCATAGGTGGTTTGCAAATTCAAGGTCAGTCTAAATGGCAAAGATTTTTGAAATAATAGGCTTAGCTTTGGGGGTTCATTTGAAATACATGATAGAAGGTCCCTTCCTTTTCATTTCATATAGATTTAATTTTAAACATGTACATGAATAGGGAGACACCCTGAAACCACTGCAGGGAAAGAAGGAAAAAATATCTATATTTTTTTCTCACCAATTGAGTAACCACCTTTAAACCTATTTTATTTCCTGACCTGCTCACAATGAGCTGTGGAGTATTTTCTTGCCCCGTTTTACTGATAAGGGAGCTGAGGTTCAGAGTTATTACTAATTTGCCCAAGGTCACACGGCTGGAATTCAACTCTACGCCAGGTTTCCCTCAAAACCTAAACTCTCTGCCACTGCCTCATGTAGATTCCCAATAACACCAAGATCACTGGCCAGTATCCCGTAAATATTCATTTTAAGAATAGAATTTTTCCTTTTTCTTTGTTGGACAGTTAATACTTTGTAATTATAATTCTGCCCAGACCATAATATTTTAATAAGGAAATCTTACCCACGAATTTTAATTTCCCCTTTTAAGGACAAAGAGAATTGAACCACTTTTTAGACTTTAGTGATTTTTTAAGTGACCCTACAACAAATGCAGAGATAAAATTCTATGATTCAACGAATTGAAGTAGTCAAATGCAAAATTACTCTTCATAGCAGAACCATGTGTAAATCTAATGAATCTTGGACCCTACCCACAATAATTAGTCACTGAGGCTCCTTATTATAATAAATCAAGAAACATAAGCTATTATTTCGGGTTGTAAGTCAACTGGCTTTCTAATAATTCACTTATGGTGTGTGTCACTAAGGATATCGCTTTAAACAAACAGGTACTGCCAGTTGATTTATCAAAGTTCACTGATTACTTGTTGGCAGTGATAGATTGTAAGAGCCTTAAAGAAAGGGGCCTTGCCTTACATATTTTTGTTTCTCCTGTGGCACCCCAGGCCCAGTGTTTGGCACAGCGTAAGGCACATGATAGCACCTATTGAATATACTGCTCAAACAACTGTTAAAATCAATGCATATATTTTCAAAGTTGGTCCCCTGGCACCGTCTCAAGGGCATTAGAAATGTGAGGCTACATGTACCACTACGCAGACTAGGAGGGGAACCAGCTGGCCCCAAGGTGAATTGCCGTGTAGCCTTTAACAGAAGACAAAGTTCATCACAGACACCAATTCAGTTCCATTCCCTAGCAACTAAACACTTAACAAAAAAACTAACAGATCGAAACAAACACTGCCATTAACAGACACCATGAATCTTTTTTCCTTTTGCATGATTCCACAATGCAGTACAATCTTTCACTGTTCTGCGGACAGGGCATGCCAGCACCCCTGGAGGAATGATATTCCAGTTTAAATTTCAGGTCCAGTAAAGACACAAAATAAGTAATTTGGTGGAAAATGACACTGTGGCTTCCTTCTCTTCTGTCTTGTAAACACAGTCTGGTTTTCTGGGAAGTGGGGAGAAGAAAGTTGCTTCGGCTTTATTTTCACATCTGTAATTTTAATATCCTTTTTTAAAAAATTCAGGTTATAGAAAAATATAGACATAGAAGAAATTAGTTAGGGATGATTATTCACATTGTAAAGGGATTCTCCGTAAGGTTGTATTAAATACTGAATTCCCCCTAGCGCAGTGAATTTGGGACATGACTGATAAGCAGCTTGTTGGGCCCTGTTGGCTCAGTTGGTTGCAGTGTCCTCGGTACACCAAGGGTTGTGGGTTTGAGTCCCGGTCAGAGCACATACCTGGCGGTTTTGGTTTGATCCCCAGATGGGGTGAGTGTGGAGGCAACCAATAGATGTTTCTCTCTTTCCTTCCTCTCTCTAAAATCAATAATAATAATAAACATATCTTCAGGTGAGGATTAAAAAAAAGAAGGAAAGCAGCTCTTCAAGAACACATTTGTATAAAGAGAGGTACACTTATATATTCACCTCAACTCCTCTCCAAGGACAATCCAGCATCTTGTTTCCATTCACTGGCAGGGGAACAAACAGTACTTGTTAAGAAACAGTCAACGGATTCTTGGATGACCCTCCTCACCTTTCTTAGGTGCTGAGGCTTTGAGGAATTCAACCAACAAAGAGAAAGACTTCCTTGTGGCCACAGCCACAGTCCGTCCACTATCCAATGACAAGGATCTTTCCAAAACCAGGGGTTTGCTGCACCTTGGTCCAGTGAAATGTGAAACGAGCAGCAGTCCCGACATTTGGACTCAGCACAGGCCACAAATATGACCTGTGGCAGATGAGGAAATTCAGAGCAACTGACTCAATGGCTTCTTGTAGTTAAGCTATTTCTTCACCTCTGCACTGGTGAAGTTACAAGGGGAGGACGCCCCCCACACACCCCCCCACACCCCTTCAGTCCTGAACACTGATGCCCATCAACAGCAGAGAGAGCCCAACTCCTACTCGCGCAAAAAAAAACATCAAGAACTGAACGGGGATCCTACCCACCCAGCCTTTGTGCTGAGTACCATTGGCAAATCACCTTTTTCCCATAAGCAAAACCTTCATCCCAGGATTCGGCATTCAAGGAGATGCACAGCAGAGGATCAAAAAGCGGATGGCTGGACCTCCCTGGGTGGCTTCACCGCTCGAACCAGCGAGCCAAGTTGCGTTTGCTTTGGGGCCGGTCGCCAGCCCTCTGCACTGCCTGGCAGGCCCGGCACCAAGGCTCGTCCCAGAAGGAGGTGATGTGCACGGCGTAGCTCCGGCGCCAATGGAAGTACCGGCGGTAGACGGTTGGGTTGCGGTCGAGGAAGAGCAGGTAGGCGGCCAGGGCAGAGGCACTAGGGAAGTCGTCCACGTGGATGAAGGCACCGCGGGGCACAAAGCGCTCATAATTGGCACGGTCGGGGCCCAGCACCACCGGCACGGTCCCAGCCAACAGCGAGTTGCGCCAGAGCTTCTCCGTGATATAGTCCAGATGCTGCGAGTTCTCAAAGGCCAGGTAGAACTTGTAACGGGCCACGGTGTGCAGAAGCCCGATGTCAGGCACCGGCCGCCGGGTCCCACCCTTGCCGAACACGTCCACGGACACGTGCTGGCGCAGCTGGTGGTAGTAGCGCACCCGGGCCTGGCGCTCGTCCCAGTTGCTCACCACCCAGGCCACCAGCCCCCGTTTCCGGGACAGCGGGGGGACCAGGCCTCGGGGCTGGTCGCTGGGATGGGTCCTGGGGTAGAGGTAGCCATAAGGCACAAAGACGTCCGAGTCGGCCCGGTAGGACAGCGTCCAGTTGAAGAGGTGACCTGCCAGGCTTCGCAGTCCCGGGGAGTGGGAGGGCGACTCGAAGTTCATCCACACCCAGCGCTGGCCCGGCGGCCTGCGGCCCGACGTGGCCAGGGCTTCCTCCGCCTCG